CATCTAATTCCATCAGTTTGGATTCTTGTAACAGCACAATATCAGGTTTTTCCCTTTGGAGTAGGTCTTTGATCGCCCTTCTCTTCCTTGCACTCCCTAACCCTCTTACATTCCAGCTAATAATTTTCATCGATACAAAATAGCAAAGGAACTCAATAAGAGGCCATATTCTCTTCTTTTTAGGCCCTTCCTCCTATCCCCTCTACCACTGAATTCTAATGGAGATGTTTCTTTCCAGCAGGGAAAGGAACTCTGACGGAGGGACAACAGCTAACGACCGCCGACCAGATCTGCCGGAGTCTTCCGGCGAACAGCAGTCCGTCGGCCATGGAGCAGCMATCATCCCCAAGTACAGCAGGCTGGAGTTCCCATCGTACAACGGCAACGGAGACCCCCTAGGCTGGTTGTATCGCTGCGAGCAGTTCTTCCGGAATCAAYGGACAAATGACCAGGACAAGGTAAGCCTAACCGCCTTTCATTTAACAGAAGAAGCACAACTTTGGTTTTATTGGTTAGAGCAAGAAGAACCCGGGCTCAGTTGGCCCAGTTTAAATCCTATTGCCTTCTTCGGTTCGGACCCCCATTGACCAGCAACCCACTGGGCGAGCTAATTAACCTTAAACAGATCGAAACAGTTGCTGAATACTAGCGACAGTTCCAAATCCTCCTTGCGAGGGCATCCTCCGTGCGACCAGACCAGCAAGTGGATATGTTCACAGTAGGGTTAGCAGAACCCTTGCGAGTGGATGTCGAGATGCAGAATCCTTCAAATTTGGTCACAACCATAAACTTAGCTCGCGCATTTGAGCGCAAGCTGCAGCTCAGCCGCGGAATTTTTAATGTGGGTCGTCCACCGAACTCGTGGGTGCCCCCAAGACCAGCAGCAACGACCCCTTCTTCTGCTACCAGCTGGGAAATGAAGCCTCCCACGACCACCACCTCTAGAGCAGAGACAAGTACATGCAGTAACATGGTCACTCCCATCAAGCGCTTGACCAGGGCAGAAATGGCAGCGCCGAGCGAGAGGTCAATGTTTCAACTATGATGACCTCTACTCGGCAGGACATAGATGCAAGAGGCTTTTTTGCTTTCTCATAGATGAGCAAGAGGAGGAGGAAGGGGAACCCGTCACATTCGAACCAGAGATCTCTCTCCATGCGAYCACCGGTATTAAAACCTCTCAGGCCATGCAGTTACAGGCACAGATCGCAGGTCAGCCGGTGTGCATTCTCATCGATTCATGGAGCACACACAACTTCATAAGTGAACATGCAGCTCTGCAGTTAAAACTACCAATGGAACTCCGGCCGCGACTACAGGTAGCCGTCGCAAATGGTGAAAAAGTTCACAGTCCAGGAATTTGTAAGGACGTCCCAGTACAGGTCAATTCTGAACTAATTCTTGTTGATTTATTTGTACTCTCATTGGATGGGTTCGATATTGTTCTCGGGGTCAAATGGTTAATTATCCTAGGCCCGATTTTGTGGGACTTCAGTGCACTCTCCATGACCTTCCACCTGAATGGCAAGCAAGTTTCATGTTACGGTTGCAAGGTTAAAGAAAAGACACCGCAGGTTCATGCACTCCAGACAGAACCGACAGCCATGGAAAAACTTCTCGCCGAGTTTTCAGATCTGTTCCAGGAACCGAAGGGCCTTCCCCCTTCCCGAGCTTGCGACCATCGTATTCCTTTGGTGGCGGGTTCARCACCAGTCGTTGTCAGGCCTTATCGCTACCCTCACTTACAGAAGGATGAGATAGAAAAACAATGTACAACGATGCTGAACCAAGGGATCATACGCAAAAGTCACTCCCCCTTCTCTTCGCCGGTTTTGTTGGTGGCGAAGCAGGATGGAATGTGGAGGTTCTGTGTTGACTATAAAGAACTCAATGACTGGACGTTCAAAAATAAGTTCCCTATTCCTGTTGTGGACGAACTGTTGGACGAGTTGCATGGTGCCCAATATTTCTCTAAGTTGGACCTCAGGTCCGGATATTTCCAAGTTCGCATGGCTCCCGGTGACGTGAAGAAGATTGCTTTTCGCACCCACCATGGCCACTTCGAATTTTTAGTCATGCCATTCAGACTCTTCAATGCACCATCTACATTTCAGGCACTAATGAACGAGGTATTCCAACCCCATCTGCTCAAATTTGTTTTAGTTTTCTTTGATGATATCCTCGTTTACAGCAAATCATGGGTAGAGCATGTCCACCATCTGAGGACCGTTTTCGTACTCCTACGCCAACACAGCTTATTCCTGAAATGGTCCAAGTGCTCTTTTGGGGAACGACAAGTTCTTTAC